CCAGGCTCCAGGTTCTTCAAACTCCAGTGTGGATTGAAGACCAGGGACTCTCCAGGAATTCTGCAGCCCCTCAGCACCAAACTGGGACTAAGGAATATAGTTCACTGACTGAGCGGCTACCAGGTTCTCAGTCTCTCTGGCCAGCAGACAGACAGTATTGGACCACCCAATCCCTCTCAGTCATATGTGACTCTAGTCAATCTCTTTTTAAAATGCATACATTCTATCAGTTCTGCTCCTCTAGAGAAGCCCGAATAATACAAGAACCACCAATTTATTTATCGGAAATATGTCAACCTAATAAAAGCAAAGACTTTTGAATTATAGTTTTTATAGGCACATATAGGCAGTGAGGAGGAAAAGACCATAGAGCAGAAAGTAACTGGAATGGTGCTATACACTACTTGTAAAGGGATAAGGACTAGGGGCGGTTACAGGAAGAATGAACAAAATAAAGGGTGCATAATATTAGTAAGACTTGATAGAGAGAATAACACTTAGAATCTAGGGTGAAAGTCAAAGATGATGCTAACTTTTCTGATTTATAGCTAGAAAGTTTGTGATGTAGCTTTAAAATAAACATGGTTTTAACAGACTAGAGGCAAAGAGTGATGGCCCATGCCTGTAATCCCATGCCTGCAATCTTGGGAGACTTGACATAGAAAGACCAAGAGTATGAGGCTAACTCGGGGTACCCTAGAACAAAACAAAATAATCAAGGCAGGGATATAGTTTAGTTGTATAGCCCATACGTAACAAACAGGAGGCCCCAGATTCAATTCCTGTCAACACAAAGTAAATAAAACTATAATTTTACCCAGATGTGGTGGTTTACATCTGTAATTCCAACACTTGTAATTGTAATTTGGGGACAGGAGGGTTGCACCAAGCTTGACGCCAGTCTGAACTATGAAGTTAGTACTGCACCAGGCAAGTTAGAGCCAAATGAAAAGATCTTATTCAAAGACAATCTAAAACACTAACAGAATAATAATAATTTTGATATATATTTTGTATCTTTTAAGTCTAAGGCAATAATCTATACTTTTAATTATTATCTCACATGGATATCTTTCCTCTGTTTTTTTTTGTTTTTTGTTTTTTGTTTTTTTTTTTTGGTTTTTCGAGACAGGATTTCTCTGTATTGTTTTGGAGGCTATCCTGGAACTCACTCTGTAGACCAGGCTGGCCTCGAACTCACAGAGATCCGCCTGCCTCTGCCTCCCAAGTGCTGGGATTAAAGGCATGCGCCACCAACGCTCAGCTTTTCCTCTGTATTTTTAACAACATTTATTGTATTTTACTTGTTATTTAATATCATGACATAGTTTCAACAATTTCACGTCAATATGTCTTGGTGCATGGGGATAGTATGTGGCTGTACATGTATGCATTGATGTACTTACCTTCAAGGGGTATGCAGAGGCCAGAGGTCAATCACTCCTTCCTTAACCACTCCCCAACCTGTTGGGTTTTTGTTGATGCTGCTGTTCTTGCTTTGTTGTGGGTTTGTTTATTTTATTGTTTGAGATGGGGACTCACTGTGTACTTGTTATGTAGGCCAAGCTGGACTCAAACTATAGAGACCTGCCTGCCTCTACCTCCTGAGTGCTGGGACTAAAGGTGTGTACCACCACACTCTACCCTCTTTGTTCTTTGGGACAGGGTCTTTCAGTGAACCTGAAGTTCACTATTTCAGCTAGATAGGCTGTCCCTGAGCACTTAGGGTCTGTCTGTATCTCCCTCCACTGCTGGATTACAGGCATGTGCACTTGGCTTCTATCTGGGTGCTGGGGATCCAAACCCAGTTTTCATGTTTGCAAAGCAAGCACCATCTACTGAGTCATCTCCTCAGCCCTTATCAATATTGTATTTCCCAAAATAAGATTTGTTCTATATTTCTTTCCCCTACATCTCAATCCCTATCACTACCAAAAGCTACATGCTAAGTACATATTACTGACACATGTTTCAATATCCTTTGGAAAATACAAAGGCCAGACTGGAGAGATGACTCAGCTGTTAAGAGCACTTGCTGCTCTTGCAGAGGACCCAGATTCAGTTGCTAGCACCCACACGATGGCTCGCAACTGTCTGCAATTCCAGTGCTAGGGATCCAATACCTTCTTCAGACAGCTGCAGGCACCAGGCACACACCCAGTGCACATGCACACATGTAACCAAAACCCTCGTTCACATACAATAAAAATAACTTAATCTTAAAAATTAAAATATAGCATCGAAATAATAATATAAAAATTATAACCAAGGGGCTGGAGAGATGGCTCAGAGGTTAAGAGCATTGGCTGCTCTTCCAGAGATCCTGAGTTCAATTCCCAGCAACCACATGGTGGCTCACAACCATCTGTAATGAGATCTGGTGCCCTCTTTTGGTGTGCAGGAATATATGTAGACAGAACATTGTATACATACTAAGTAAATAAATATAAAAATTTATAATCAATATTCTAAAATAAGTTAGTATACTAATAACAATAAAAAGGAACAAGAAGGAATATCTGAAAATTAAATATATAAAAAACAAAATGATAAAGACTGTAAAGTCAGGGAAAGGGTCAGAATTATTAAAGAAATAATCAATTTCCCATAACTGAAGGAAATAAATGTGTATACTGACTGTGGTTACCAAGTACCCAGTGCAATGAATAAAAGAAAGGTACACACAAAGAAATACTAACTAGTGCAATATTAGAAATCAAAAATAAGAAGCCAGGAGGTGGTGGGGAGGTGGGGAGGGAGGGAGGGAAAATAAACTTCAGAGAGAACAGGTTATATACAAAAGTTTCTAGAGTCACAATAGCAGCCAGAAAAGTCACTAAGCTCAAAAAGAAGAAAACACACCCCCAACCTTGACCTTTATGCCCAGCCAAACAACACAGTATAAACACAAAGCAAAGCTCTGAACTTTTTCTAGACAATGATTACAGTGAAACTGAACTTGGGTTCTTTGCAAGCACAGCAAGCACCACCTGTCCAGCCTCAATTTGAAACAGATACCAATAAAAACTACCAAAGTATAGGCCTATCCACACAGGATTTTCAAAACTACTAGAAAACCATTCTTTGAGAAGTACGTTTCATTATTTTTGCTTCTACTGTGTGCTACATTGGCCTACAAATATTTCATATTTTCACACAGTTTAGTCATATAGAAGAACTTTGCAGGCCTCCTTAAAATCAGTGATATTTTCAGCTGTACTTCATGGATTTCAATACTGTAACGTGATCAAATCTACGGGACATAGTCTTAATTGTTTAGTGTCTGCAATTCTTTTTTTTTTTTCTGGAGAAAATCTCAACTTTAACGGCAGGATTTATTACTTTTGATTAAACATGAAGGTAGCTGTAAACAAAACTCCAAAATTCAACATTCTGAATAAATGTTCCCATTTTTTTTCTGTTTTTCAGAGTTGCCAATCTTGTTGGGCATGGTGGCACATGCCTTTAATTCTAGTATTTGGGAAGCAAAGGCAGGCAAATTTCTGTAAGCCTGAGGCCAGCCTGGCATAATAACAACTTCCCGGCTAGCCTGGGCTACATAGTGAGACTCTGCCTCAATTTTTAAAAAGTTGCCAATTTTGTTGCTGTTGTTAGACAGGGTTCTCTGTGTAGCCCTGGCTGTTCTGGAACTGGCTGTGAATGAGTTCGAGGACAGTCTTGTCTACGAGATTTCCAGCACTGAAAAAAGAAAGGAGAGGCTGGGAAGGGGAGTGGGGAAGCTGGAGGGGGAAGAGGAGAGAGAGGTGGAAAAGAGGGTTGGTAGAGGAAGGATCATAATTTCTGAGAAGATAACTGTGACATCCTTAGTGTAAAACACAGGTGCTAAAATGTGTGTAAGTAAAGCAATGCCTCATTTTGTTCAACTTTCTAACCAATGTAGACAGGTATTTGCATGCGTAATCCTGAAGGAAGACCTGTCTTGTTCATTTTTATATCCTCTCACTCAGCCTGGGCATCTTTGAAAGGGGAGGGCCCAGAAAGAAATCCTTTTCCGAAACAGGTCAGAAGATCTGTAACCACTGTTCCCCCCCCAAAAAAAAAATTGCAGGCAGCTCTGGCCTCTTTGCAGACGTCAAGACTTCATGGTAAGTCGGTTCTAATTAGAAAAATTCACTTTTTCTGGAGCAGGCGCTTCCCACTCCGTGCAAAGTAGGAGCCAAGTGAACAGAACCGCAAAGACTTGGCTTACTTCAAACGCAAACTAATTTATTATTATTGGCCCAAATTTACCCTCTCTCCTGGGGCGAAGGCCAATATCCACAACCGCACTGAAACCTCGGCAAGGAAAACCAGTAGCCGGTGGGGAGCATAGCGATTCTCTGCCAAAACCCAGGGAGAGCTGCCCCCGTGCAGCGCTGTCTTCCAAAAGCCTCCAACAGATCTCCGCCTTAAAAATCTACATTTCCTAAGAAATGCTTCCAATTTTCGACATTAAAAGCTAAAGAAACAGCTCCCAAAGCCCCACAAGGAATGGCTCCCTTCCAGTGCTACTGCCACTTTCAGGGCTCACCAGCCACAAGCCCAAAGCTGGACCACACTGGCTACAGCCTTGGCGGCTGCCTTTGAAGTAAGCGCGCGCAGCGGGGATGCGGGGAGTTCAACTTCCGGCCCCACACAGAGGCTATTTTCCTACTGGCCTTGCGGCTGCCGGAGCCGCGCCTTTGGCCACGCCCCTACCCACCCCCTACCCTCGCTTTGCTTTCCTAGGCTTGAACGCGCGGGAGGGGCGTGGCCTCGGGGGAAAGATTCTCTCGGTGTGAGTCCCGGCTCCTCACCGAGCGCGGCCACGCAGAGGCACGCTCCGACCGGGCGGGCGCGAGCTCGCGCACGCGCGCTCCCGCCGCCCTCTCCGGTGACGTGCCTGGCCGAGGCCGCGCTAGGGCGCTGGAGCTGCCACTGAGCGGCTGTCATGGCGTCGGAGGCGCTGGCTGAGGAGAGCCGGCCGCGGTGTCTATAGGACCAGGGGCGGGCGGCCGGGGATGGAGAGCGGCCCTGACAGCCCGCAGCCTCTGGAACTCGGGGTGGCGGCGGGACGAGAGTCGCCGCCGGAAGGGCGACGGCACGACGGGCGCGAGGCTGAGGATGGTCTCGCAGGACGCGCGGTGGAGAGCGGCGGGCAGGGGGCGGCGGCCGCGCGGAGCAGCCCCGGGGACCCGACGCTCCCCTCGCAGCTCGGCAGCGGCGCGGGCTCGGACTTGAAAGACAGCGCGTCGCCGAGCCCCGCCGCCTCCGAGGCGCCTCCGAGAGGGCAGCGCAAGGTGACCGCCTCCCCAGAGCTGGCCGAGGCCGCGGCGGGCCGAGGGTCGGGGCCAGTGGGAGACGCGGGCACCTGCGGGGTGGAGCAGGCAGCCGAGGAGCCCAGCAGCGCCGGCGCCCTGAGCAGCAGCTGCAGCGAGCCGAGCCCCCCAGGGGACTCGCCCAGCTTGGACTCTCTGGAGTCTTTCTCCAACCTGCATTCTTTCCCCAGTAGCTCTGAGTTCAATAGTGAAGAGGGAGCGGAGACCAGGGTCCCCGAAGACGTGGAGGAGGGCGCGGCGGGGCCGCCCAGGGCTGCACCGCTGTGCAGAGAGGAGGAGGAGGACCCGGCTCAGGTGCTAGCGGCCTCCAAAGAACGCTTTCCCGGCCAGTCAGTGTATCACATCAAATGGATCCAGTGGAAAGAGGAGAACACGCCCATCATCACCCAGAATGAGAATGGCCCCTGCCCTTTGCTGGCTATCCTCAATGTTTTGCTTCTGGCCTGGAAGGTACAATCTGCAGCTTTCTACTTCCTACAGCTTGTGGGGAGGGGCAAAATGGGGTGAGGAAACTGTTGTTTGTCAGCTGATGGCTTCCTTGTTTCTTCATTCATCAGTCTCCTTTTTGGAGACAAGGTTTCCCTGTGTAGCCTAGGCGGTCTTCGAACTTCAGTCTGCGGGGTGCTAGGTTTATAGGCAGACACCACCATGTCTAACAGTCTCTTCTTGCATGAAATTAATTCCAGAATTTCTTTATTGAACAATTATTCACATACGTATGTGTCAGGAAGAATTACCCCTAACTTCAGGTCCTTTCTGTCAGGAAGAATTGCCCCTAACTTCATGTCCCTTTTGTATTAAAAATTCAACAATCAGTTAAAGGTTGTAACTGATGGTGTACTTTTAAGCAGGTAGAATCTAGAGCACCCTTCACCTACACCTGCTGAATATTTTTAGCTATATTCGTCCATATATTACTCCTTCTTACTGACATTAACACATATGCAAAACAGTGGAAATTGGAAAAAAGTCATCTTCATAGTTACTATCAATGTGATATCATGAAGTAAGTTTTAATGATTATGTATACACTTTTCTAGAGAATGCTGCCTGCCCCACTTGGGTGTGGATATGTGAAGGAATGGAGATAGGAAAGATACAGTCAGCCCTTTTAGATAAATTTCATTTAAGGAAAAGCATTGGTCTGAGCCCACTTACCACAAATTAGTTGTTTTCAAAGACTATATTTTAACCTTGTGTATGATTTTCTTACTTGCCTTGTTTCTTTGGCTCTACTTCAAAGGTTTGGCATTTTTTTTTACCAGTAACTATACATTAGAATGTGTTAAGGAAGCTAAAACAAGAAATGACAAGTCTAAGACACTGGAGCATGAAAGGGGAACGGCAGGTGTATTGAGACCTCAGAATAAAGTGCCATATTTAAGCTTGCAGTTTGTGGGTGCTGAGAGGGTGCATCTCAGCACCTGATTTCAAATTAATGGTTCCATCTGCAGTTACAATGTTCCCTAGAAGAACAGCTTGAATTTTGCGACCACTTGTGAAGAAATTGAGATGGATAATGAGAGAAGAATCCCAAACATCAGTTTCACATCGGGTATCTGGGGCTCTTGATGGAACCATGTGGGTTCCAATCACCTGCGTTAGTTTGTGAATGGGTATGCATGTTAATGAATTTGAAGATTATTTTGATTAACCTCTGCTCATAGCATTCTAGAGCTTTTCTATCCCAGAGTTCCAAACTTCCACATTTTTTCTATAAACCATGAGGTCTGAGAGCTACATGGTCAGGTATACCATAGCTGAGGCTCCATTCCAGAGTACCAATTTTCTGGCATAGTTCCCTTTCTCATTGCCGTAACAAAATACCTGACAAAAGCAACTTAAGGTAGGGTTTATTTTCGCTCACAGTTTGAGGGTACAGTCCATTAAGTCAGGGAGTGCATGGCAGCTGGAGCCTGAAGTAACTAGTCACATTACATTCATAGTCAGGAAACAGAGAGAGATGAGTGCTCAATAGGATTTCTCCTTTTTTATTTAGTCCAAACCCACATTCCATGGACTGCCACCCACATTCAGAGTGGGAGGGGCAGATACCATGACCTGGATTACTTTGTGGATATATGAGCGTTGGATGTATTGACCGTGAAAGACAGATTCAAATGTGTAACCACATGTTTGGGTTCTGGTTTTGTAGTTGACACTACAAATGCAAAAACAGTACAAAGAACATCAGCCTTCCAGTAGCTCAGGATATGGTAAGGAGGTGGACTTAAAGAGTAATTGCAGCCCTAATGTGCTAAGGGAGTACCAAAAAAAGGAGCTGGTGGGTACCTTGGAATGGGATCTCGGGAAGGCTTCAGAGATGAGATGCACTGATTCACGTCAGAAGATTGCATGAGATAAAGCCTCTGGACAGAAGGGCACATTTGAAGACAAATCAGAGACAGTTTGCAAATCACCTCCAAGTTTAGTGGAGATGCAATGGAGAGGGGGCAAGACAAGGCCATAAGCAAGAAGTAAATTTGATGGGTTTGGTTAGTCTATAAATGAGTATGCATGCTAATGTGTTTGAAGATTGTTTTGAAAATCCGTGATTCTTAGCCCTTTTTTTTGCCTGTAGGCTATTTATGCCAACAAAAATCAGTCATAGGGAGATGGGTGAGAGAAACAATGTCAAGTAGTATTCTCAAGGTGAGCCATGGTTTCTAGAGGTCCAAACTGTTTTCCTAATAATACAAAAATGTTATTTGCCTTTTGGACATCCACAGAGATTTCCAGATTTTTTTGATGGATGGATGATGATTGAGGTTAAAAAGGAGAACAAAAGGACATCCACTATACACAGCATACTCATGTATTTGTCAGGTTATAATGTCTAAGAACTAGTGTGTGTGTGTGTGTGTGTGTGTGTGTGTGTGTGTGTGTGTGTGCGCGCGCGCATGCCGGATGTTTTTCTGTGTCACTCTCAGTATTTCTTGTTTCATTTTTGGAGACAGGGTCTCTCAGTTGAACTTGTTCTTTTAGTTAGACCGACTAGCCAGTGAGACCTGAGTTTGTCTGTCTACTTCACCACCCTTCAGTGCTGAGGTACAGAGCTATGAAAGACACTGCAGCCCAGTTTTTACATTGGTGCCAGGGATCTAAATTCAGGTGCACTTTTCCCACTGAGCCATTGTCCCAGCCTCAAGTTTTTTTTCAAGTTTCTTTTCATAGTTAACATTATATTGTGCAAGATAATGGGTTTTACTATGACATTTTCATGCATATATATACTAATTATATAGAAAATAATGGTTTTCATTCTAATATTTGGTTTTTTGTTTTTGAGACCGACTCTTATATATCACAGGCTGGGCTCCAACTTGCTGTATAGCCTGGGAATGATTTTTGAACTTCCGGTTCTCCTCAATCTCCAAAGTACTGGAATTACAAACATGTGCCACCACTCCCAGTTTATATGGTTCTGGGGTTAACCAGGACTTCATATATGCTAGGCAGACACCTGTCAACTGAGCTACATCTCCAGCCCTCATTATAGAATTTTCAAACATGTTCGTGGTGTGCTTTGATCATCTTCACCTGATTCCAAGTGCTAGTTTCTTCTTTAGTGTGTATGGGTGTTTTTGCCTGCATGCCAATCTGTGAGCTACATGCATGTCTGGTGCCCAGGAATCCAGAAAGGGGCACCAGATCTCCTGGAACTGGGGTTTCTGACAGTTGTGAGTCACCATATGAGTGCTTGGTATTGAATCTGGGTCCTCTAGAAGAGCAGCCAGTGATCTTAACCACTGAGCCATCTCTTTCTAGACCTGAGGATTAGTTTCTTAGTTTATAAAGAGCCCTTATAAATGAGCAAGACAAAAGCTGAACAATATGATGACAAAAGGAGAAAAAATCAATAGCAAAAATCTTCACTGGGTGGTGATAGCACACACACTTAATCCCAGCACTTGGGAGGCAGAGGTAGGGGAATCCCTGAGTTTGAGACCAGCCTGGTGTACAGTGTGAGTTCAAGGACAGCTAGAGCTACACAGAGAAACCCTGTCTCCAAAAAAGTAAGTAAGTAAGGAGAGAAAGAGAGACAGACAGACAGACAGAGAAATTTGAAGTTCAAATGGACATTTCCTGTTTTATCACCTTGAAGTGAAGTTCCATGTCTATGAGCATCTTCCCAGCTGTGACTATTTGTTGTGGCTACTTTTCAATGACACCTTATCTCTTCTCCCATGTTTTTTTCCTCCCATAAATCTTTCACATTACTTTCTGGCTTATTCTGCCCCATCCTACCCCAAGCCTGTAGAAGAATTGCAGTCACACTAATTTTTTTCATGCTATCTTTTCCTAAAGTAAGCACAAAACTCTTTTGAGGGTTTCCAAGCACATTTATCGCTTATAAAAAAGGAAAAACAGATGGTGAGCCAAAGGTTTTATCTTAGCCTCTGCCTACTCTATTTTAAATATAGCTCTTGTAAGGAGAAATTAAAAACTTTACACAGTAGTGGGACCTTATCTACATAAAAGATTTGAGGAACAGTTCTGGGGCTCCCTTTCCCACTTTCTCCCAAGAATTAGAAGTAATATGTGTCTCTGGACTTGTGAGTAAAGTAGAAGAGAACAGCGTGATCCTGCATGGGTGGAAGTCTGGTTCTGATAGTATTCCTTCAGTGAAAAAGCCTTCCTTTTCCTTTTCCAATCATGCCTATGGAGGTCCAGGTAAAGGATATTTGATTTTTGAATACATGTAGTACCAACAAATTAGGCCTTTGAATATAGTAATTTTTTGTTTCTACTTTATTTTGAAACAGGGTGTTGCTATTTAGTCACTGCATTTGAACTCTCGATCCTCTGGGTTCAACCTCTTGAGTGCTAGAATTGCAAGTGTGCAGAAACATACTGGCTTAAAGTTAGCTTTGATGCTGTTCCCATTATTCTCCACTTTAAAAAAAAAGATAATTCCATGTATCTTTTTGGGGGTGAGGGATTGTTTTTCATGCATGTATGCATGTGTATCACATGATGCCTGGTGCTGGGCCAGAAGATGGCATCAGAGTCCTTGGAACTGGAGTTACATATGGTTGTGAACTAGATGTGCGTGCTGGGAATGGAACTCTAGTAAATGCTCTTAATCTTTGAACCACCTCTTCAGCCACTTATTCTCTACTTTTACTTTTTAAATTGTTTTTATTTTATATGTATGATTGTTTTGTCTATATGTATACATGCATACTATATATGTGCCTATGCCTTTGAAAGGCCAGAGGAGGCCAGAAGGCATCAGATCCAGTGGGACTACAGTTATAGGCAGTTGTAAACTGTCATGTAGGTGCTGGAAATAGAACTTGGGTACTCTGAAGGACCAGCCAGTGATCTGGAGCCACTGAACTATCTTTCTAGTACTTTGTTCTCCACTTTTAATTGATTAAGTTGCTTTTTCTTTGGTTTGGTTTTGTGACAGGTCTCAAATTTACTATGTACCTAAAATCGGTAGTGATCCTTCTCTGTCCTCCTCCTGGGAGTGGGATTACAGTTCTGGGCCACTGTGCATTGCTTGCATTGAATGTTTTGTTTTTATTGTGCTAGGGATCTGACAACATAAAAAATGAAAAAAATCATTTTCTTACCTTACTGTAACTTTGATGCCAGCTTGTGTTATGTTGAGAGAGCCTGTCTGAAAGATCAGATCAAACAAAACAAAAAAGTGTTGGGCGACTATATTCTAGAGCCAAAAATGAATGGCCTTGGCCTGGGAACACAAATTTAGGTTACCCAAAATCCCATGCTCTGATGTGGTAACAGTTTCACAAAATTATTAAAGTAACAGAAAAATAATATTTCAAAATTATTGGTGGAAACATCAGATAGGTGAGTTATAGCAAAGTGAGGGAGTGGGGGAGACTTGCAAAACCTCAACTGTGGGTCTCGGATGCTATCTGCTGGCTTTCTTAGGTTTTAGTTTAGTGGAAGTCAGTGGTCTGCTACATTAATTCATTCCAAAGATGTTAGGTCAGACACAGAGGTGAGTTAAGCTGACTAAAGAGGGCTGAAGAGACAGCTCAGCAATTAAGAGCACTGACTGTTCTTCCAGAGGTACTGAGTTCAATTCCCAGCTGGCTCACAAGGTGGACAGCATCATGTGAGACATTAAACAAGATAGAGAGATTACATAGTGAGACGGGGTAAGAAAGGACTGAGGAGGAGCCAGGTTAAAAAGGAAAAAAAAGAGGACTAAAGATAGTCCAAGACAAATTATAATTAGACAATGTTCTAGTCTCTCCACATCACTGAAGTCCTATCAGTTAATTAGACTTTGTAGAATATTCAATATAGGTGCAACCTCTTTTTGGGAATTAAATGTAGTATGCTAAGCAAGCACTCTACCACTGACCTATACACTCCACCTTCAGTTGCTTTACAGCAAGCTGCATGTACCTCAGGATAGTATGAATGTGTCCTAAAATAGAGTCATCAACTTACTGTAAACATTGTGAAATTATGTGTGCATGGGCGTGTGTGTGTGTGTGTCATGGGCACATGTGTGCCCATACAGATACAAACGCCAAATAAATAAATATGAAAAAAAATGTAGAGACAAAATGGCAGAGATGGTGGCATATATCTTTAACCTCAGCATTCAGGAAGCAGAGGCAGGCGGATTTCTGTGAGTTTGAGGCCAACCTGGTTTATATAGTGGGTTTTAGGCCAGCTAAGGCAATATAGTGAGGTCCTGTCTCAATAATAACAACAATAATTTTTAAAAAACATTGATATTTATAATTGGCCCTTTCAGACAGCTGTAAAAATTCAAAGTTCCATCTCTACAATGCAAATGTATTCAGATATCAGCACTTAAAAAATGATACTGAAACACCTTGGTAAATACTGTATAACAATAGCTAAAATAATCGAAAGCAAAACCTAGTAAATTGTCTTGTAAAGAACTGCTTAGTGGGGCTGGAGAGATGACTGAGGGGTTAAGAGCACTGGCTGCGGCCTGGAGAGATGGCTCAGAGGTTAGGAGCACTGACTGTTCTTCCCAAGGTCCTGAATTCAATTCCCAGCAACCACATGGCAGCATACGTGCATGCAGACAGAGTATTGTATACGTAATAAGTAAATCTTTAGGAGAGCAGTCAGTGCTTTTTTTTTTTTTTAAAGATTTAAAGGACCTGGTTCAATTCACCCACGTAGTAGCTCACAACCACTATCTCTAACTCTAGTTCCAATGGATCTGATAATCTCTCCTGGCCTCCTCTGGTTTCTGTGGGTACCAGACATAAAAATGGTACACAGACATACATGCAGGCAAAACACTCATACGTATAAATATAAAATAATAAAAATTTTAAAACTAGTTAGTAATCATCATGTTAGGCTTTGTGTTTCATGAGTCTCTGTTAGAGAAATTCAAGTTTCCTACTGTAGTACAAAAAAATGTAAAATATATTGAAATGTAGTCAAGGAATATATAAACAATGAATAAAAAACTCAACTTTTTCTTAGAATAACAGACAGCAAACTATAATTCGCAAGTGAACTTCAGTTTTAAAATTATATATAGGAAGTGGGCTGCAGAGCTGGCTCAGCAGTTCAAACCACTGGCAGAGAACTCTTGCAGAGAATCTAGGTTTTTTCTACACCCAAGTTAGGGCTCACAACTGCATATAATCCCAGCTCCATGGGATCTAGCACACTTTTCTGACCTCATGGTGTATGAGCACACATGGCACATACTCATATAAACAAATACATATAAATATATATATTTAAAAACACATTATTTAGAAGAATGGCTTATTGAGTACACTGCAGTGGGGGCATTGGACTAGACAGTAACTAGAATGCTGCCTGCAGTCAAATTATTCTTAAGAATATGTTGTTACAGAGAATAAAAATCATTTAGAATAATAGGATGAGCAAGCCTCTATGGCATATCCTGTCACTACTAAGTGATAAATCCAGAAGACAACTGGACCCTAAGCATCAGCTGTCATATGTGCTCTCAGAGAGGCTAACACTGCTATGTCTTGCAGCAAACATTTTGGAAACTTGTTTAATCATTGATTAAAAAACATTTCAATAAAAAACCTTTTAATATGTCATTAACACATTTGATAGCATAAACTTAACCTTCTTTAACAATTAGGGAGCTATTGGAGAAATTGATGATTTAAAGTTTCCTTGATTAATTATGTTCTATCATTGATATGGTAGTTATTGGAATTTCCATCTTGAATATTTCTAAGGCTTTCAAAAAATTTGTATGTGTGTGAGTGTTTGCCTGTATGTATGTATGTGCACTATGTGTGTGCCTAGTGCCTTCAGAGTCTAATCTCTAGTGGAGTTACAAACAACTGTGAGCCACCATGATTGTGCTAGTGCTCCTAACTGCTGAGGCATCACTACAGTCTTCTGAATATTTATTTTTCTTCTATTCTGTGAGTTTAACAGAGTGTGACTGTAGATGTCAGTTAAAATATTTAGTCATTGGCCATGGTATGTGATATATGTAACTCATCTGACAACTCATTTGAAATTTTATTTTAGGCCAGTGAGGTAGGTCAGTGGCTAAAAGCACTTGCTATACAATCCTAGCAACCTTAGTTTGCAGCACCTCACAAGCTCTTACAGTCTCTCTACTATAACTCTTTCATAACCTCTAGGAGTAACTATAATCTTGATTTTTGTTACTAGGTTTTGTTTTTTCATTTTCTGAAACAAGGTCTTGTGTCTTATATAGCATAGGCTGGCCTCACATTGATAGCCAAAGGTGGCCTTGAACTCTCTTGATCCTCCTGCCCCCATCTCCCAAGTGCTAGGATTATAGGTATATACTACTGTGCCTGGCTATTCATTCATTAGTTTATTTATTTATTAATTAATTTATTTATTTTTGACAAGGTCTCCCTACATAGGCCAAGCTCTCATCCTTCTGAATGTTGGAATTACAGGTTTACTTTCCCTTACTTTAATATATATACAGTTTTGTCATCTACATGTGTATCTCTAAATAATATAGCTTATTTTTACCATTAAAAAATATATATATGTTTTTCAAGGCAGGGTTTCTCTGTTTAGCTTTGGAGCCTGTCTTGGAACTCACTCTGTAGACCAGGCTGGTCTTGAACTCAAAGATCCACCTGCCTCTGCTTCCCGAGTGCTGTGATTAAAGGCATGCGCCACCACCTGGCAAAGTTCATATTTTAAATAAAATCATACAGATGAATTTTTTTGTGTTTAGTCTTAGTACTTGAATATTGTATTTATTTGAATCATTCAAAACATGCCCAAGGTAGATTGAAATTATGGATATGAAGCTTTGTTCCATCCTGCCTTACAGAAAATGATTCCATTGATGACTTGTTATGTTTGGTGCCTCTTCCTGCTCTTTAACTGAATTTTCTACCATTCTGGACCCTGTGATAGGGTCTCAGGGTAATTATGTTAGAAGGTAAAAAAAACATGGCTTTTCAAACCTCTCAGTATCTCTATATGATCCTCTATCACCTTATAATTGTTATAGTGACATACTTCATTTTTTGTTATTTTATTTTCCTTTTAACATTTTTTTAAAATGTTATTTGTGTATGTGTATATGAGATGTGAGTAAGGATTCATGTATGTCTTGGTGTGTTTATGTATCATGGTGTGTGTGAAAGTTAGAGGACAACTATAGGAGACCATTCTATCCTCTCATCCTGAGTTCCTGGGATCAAACTCAGGTCATCAAGCTCACTTATCAAGCACTTTTGCCTGCTGAACTATTTTTCACCCTTATTACATTTTTTGAGAAAGTCACACTCTATAGTTCAAGCTGATTTAAAACTCATGGCCATCCTTCTACTGAGTACTGGGAGTACAGACATGAGCCACATGCCTGGATGACTTTGTTATACAAGCATGAATGTTAATGTATTTATATATTAGGTGTTTGTCTGCATGCAAATGTGTGCTTGTTTTTGGCTGCAGGAAACTATAACATTTTTTATAGAAATAATACCTTGCTTTTTTCAGGTGAAACTTCCACCAATGATGGAAATCATAACTGCGGAACAGCTGATGGAATATTTAGGTCAGTATCTAAGACTTGATGATTTTGTATCTTTTACAAAATTAAATGAAGTTTTCAAAGCTGTTATTTTACTGGTGCTATTATATAATCTATTATAAAAATTATAGTTCTGAATCTGCTAATTAAAAATCTTAACAGTATGTTCCTGTTCTTGACTGTTACAACATTCTTCTGACCATCATTAGAATCCTGAACTATAAATAAGAAGACTGGACAGAGTCCAGAGAATAGCACACTAATTAATTAATCCTAGTAAATTGCAGAGTGAGAAAAGATACAGAAACTTTGACCTTAGAAAGGTACCTTTTTTTTTTTTTTTTTTTTTTTTGGTTTTTCGAGACAGGGTTTCTCTATATTGTTTTTGAGGCTGTCCTGGAACTCGCTCTGTAGACCAGGCTGGCCTCGAACTCACAGAGTTCCACCAGCCTCTGCCTCCCAAGTGCTAGGATTAAAGGCGTGTGCCACCAACGCCTGGCAGAAAAGTACCTTTTTAGTTGGGCTGTGGTGGCACACGCCTTTAATCCTAGCACTTGGGAGGCAGAGGCAGGTGATATCTGTGAGTTTGCTGCCAGCCTGGTCTACAGAGCTAGCTCCAGGACAGCCAGGGCTGTTATACAGAGAAACCCTGTCTCAAAAAACCAGAAAGATAGAAAGAGAGAAAGAAAGGAGGGAAGGGAGGGAAGGAAGGAAGGAAGGAAGGAAAATACCTTTTTAGAATTGTGTCAACTTGGATTAAAGTTGAAGGAGTTGGGTTGGAGATGTAGCTCAGTGGTGGAGCACTTGGCTAGCATGTGTGAGGTCTGGAATTTAATCAGTAGAGTTGAAAAACAAACATAACAAGACACACACCAACAAGCAAACAAACAAAAAAAAAAAAACTGAGGAGGTGATAATGAGATGCTGCTACCCAAAGTATAATTTGTGGACTGAATAGAAGTCCTCTCTGGCCAGGCGTTGGTGGTGCACCCCTTTAATCTCAGCACTCAGGAAGCAGAGGCAGGCGGATCTCTGAGTTCGAGGCCAGACTGGACTGACAGCCTCCAAAACAATACAGAGAAACCCTGTCTCGTAAAACCAAAAAAAAAAAAAAAAAGAAGAAGAAGAAGAAGTCCTCTCTGCAAGAGCCACCAGTGCTCTTAACCCCTGAGCCATCTCTCCAACCCCTATTAGTGTGTTTTGAGATAAGAAGCCTGGGAGAGAATGCAATTCAACACATTGCTTCCTTCAACAGGAACGACATTTCAGATGAAATAGATGATAAACTGGCACACCTTTAATCCCAGCACTTAGGAGGCAGAGACAGGCATATCTCTGAGTTCGAGGCCAGCCTGGTCTACATAGTGAGTTCCAGGACAGCCTGAACTACACAGAGAGACCCTATCTCACAAAACAAGCAAGCAAGCAAATAAATAAATAAATCTTTAAAAAAAATAAGATAAAGTGAATGAGGAAGATACCACATGTCAAAGTGTGGCCTCCACATGTATGCATACACATGCATGTGTACCCACATACACACACATACACAAAATATTGCCACATATGATGGTATTATGGTATATATCAGTAATCCCAGAACTTGGTATACTGAGGCAGAAGTAATCATTATGAGTTTGAGGTCAGCATAGGCTACAAAGTAAGACTCAAAAGTAATTAGATAGATAGATAGATAGATAGATAGATAGATAGATAGATAGATAGATAGATAGATGATAGTTTGTCTCAGGTGTTCCAGGTAACCAGCTAACTGTGTGTGTGTGTGTGTGTGTGTGTGTGTGTGTGTGTGTGTGTGTGTGTGAAGGTGGAGCTAAAGTATTAGAATTAGAACTCTTAGAAAGCCTGTGTGGGGAGGAGGGGTGTATATGTACATACACACTTACGTGCATACATATTTTATAGCCATTAATCCATTTTTACTGGCTAGGGACCTCATAGTTGTAGTTAAATTACTCTAAATACTTAGATATATGCAGATAAAGGCTAGATTAATGAACTTTAAACTGCCAGGATGATGCCAAGTACAAAGGGGGCAGGAAGAGTGTAGGAGATGGGCTCAGAATAATTGGATTCTGACCAAGTGGGGCCCAGTTGGCTAGTGTAAAGACTGACTTTTTGGATTGGCATGATCTGACTTTCACAAAAATGATATAGCTATTGTAACACAGATAGCATATTGTAATATTGGAATGTTTTTCTTTAAAAATTACAATTCCAGGGACTAGAGAGATGGCTCAGTGGTTAAAAGCACTTGTTCTTCCAGAAGACTGAGTGTGGTTCCCAGAATTCATGTCAGTTAGATCATAACCACCTGTAACTCCAGCTCCAGGGAATCCAACACTGGTTGGTTTTCATGAGTACCCAAAAACATGGCAAATATCCATACACATACATATGCATATAAATAAAAATAAAAATGAATCTTTTTGAAAAATCTAATATAATTTGGGCATCTTGATGCACATCTTCAATCCCAGCACTCTGGAGCAGAGGCAGGCAATTCTCTGAGTTTGAGGCCAGTCTGGTCTACAGCATGAGTTCTAGGACAGCCAGGGCTACAAAGAGAAACTGTCTTGGAAAAAAAGAAAAAAGAAAAAGCCTTGAAGGAAGAAGGGACATCTTAAAATTCTCATACATACTGAAAAGTAGTCTGTTAGAGCAAAGGGAAGTCTTCACAGCTGTATGGGTTTAGCAGCCAACCCTACATAGGAGGAAGCATTATAAAACTGGGACAAAACATACAGTATCACAATGCTATGCAAAAATGCTTCACATCCAGAAGCTGTACAACAGGTTACAAAATGTGGCCTTTTATCACAGGAACTTGGGCAGGGCAGGGGATCCATCCAATCTCACCTATTCTGTCATAGGCCTCATGTGCTTGGCTGTTTTACCACAACAGGATTAAGTCATGTTAAGCTCAGTGAGGGCTAGAACCAGTCTTCCATTGGCCCTCCCCAGCTCTTTCTTCCACCTCCTGGGTTCTTAAACTTGTTTTCTCTGTCATGTCTCAGAGGTCTTAGGTGCTTTAGCCATCCTCCTAAACTTATGGACTCATGATCCTCTTGCCTTGGCCAACTACATCCTGGTAAGAGAGGCATCAGCAAGACATTGTTGGAGATTACTTTTATTTTTATCAGAAAATGTATTTACTGAGTAGGTACCCCATGGAAGTGTTTGGAAGTATCATCAATGGTCATTAATGTGGCTTTACAAGAGACTTGTAATGTGGCATAAATATCAGAAGAGTATTTCTCTTAGAAAAAGTAAATAATTAGCACATCTTGGTATGTTAACTTGACTCTTAGCTAATAAAGCCCTCAAAAAATAGGACATATCACAGAGAATTTTAATAGGGAGAAAGAAAAAAACATGATGAAGAAGTAGCTAGGGCTGGCAAGATTGCTTAGCAGGTAATATGCTCCTGATGAATAAGCCTGATGACCGGAATTGAATCCTCCAGAACCCATAGTGGAAGAAGAGAATCAACTTCTGAAAATTCTCCTCTGGTTTCCATTTGTGTCCCATGGCATGTGTACACACACACACTGTTATTAAATAAGAGAAAAGAAAAATCTACAAGGTAGCCAGAGTTTTGGGAGTCATGGGACTTAACTATTAAGAATGGCATAAAGTCACCCAGAAGAGAGGGAGAAGGAATGGGAGTAAAGTGAACAGAGTCCAGGTAAAATCATCTACTTAGGATCAGTCTGGTTAGAACAAGTGACTTAAGGTCCTAAGCTAGTTGGATTGTCTCCTCTTGAGATTACTCTTGTTCTCTGAAGGAATTAGAGATACTGTATTTTAAGTAGCATGGGGGTGTGCATGCACATGAGCTTCAGTGCAGGGAGGGATTCCATGGATCAAACTTAAGTCATCAGGCTTATAGGACAAAGTGCTTTTACCTGCTGAGCCATCTCAATAGCATGGGATGTTATAATACTTGAGTTAATGTGCAAACACTAGTAGAAGGATTGTAAGAGAAACCATTAGTTGTTTTCCAAACATCTATGTGAGATACCTCAAAGGATGGGAATTTAGTGTGTATTTGTGTGTGTATACATGTGTAGGCACACAAGACTGTATGCTAGAGGACAAACTCAGTCTTTTTTGTTTGTTTTTGAGATTGAATGCTTCACTGGCCTGGAGCTTGCCAAGTAGTCTAGGCTGGCCAGTAAACCCCAAGAATCCCCATCTCTGCATCCCTAGTGCTTGGATAACAATCATGCAATTCAGCTTTTGGAATTTTTATTTATTTTCTTAATTGATTTTGAGATAAGATCTTGCTGCATAAGCCAAGCTGCCCTCTAGTTCAAAAATCCCCCTGCCTCAGCCCTCAAATGCTGGGATTACAGTTGTAATTCACACCCAATAAAAATGGGAATTTTGCCTGGTGAAGGTTAGAGGAAAAGCAAATGAGTTTCACTTTGGAAATCTCTGCTTCTAGGTAAGAAGGGGGCCAAATGCAACTGTAGCTTGTTCAAGTATTTGACATAGAGAAAGAAACATAGCATGCAGATGCCTAGGCAGTGTTAAGATATCTAGTAAAGAAGGAGAGCAAGGAAAGAGATACCTTGATAAAAGGAGTCATTGTAGAGTTAATGAGAAACTTGGCACTAGGAAAATTTCCAGGAACTCATATTGATGACCCCAAATAAGAATCTAAGCAATAGTTGAGAGGGTACCTTAAATGCCCTCACCCTATAATGAGATTGATGACTACATTACATGCCATCATGGAGCTTTCATCTAATAGCTGATGGAAGCAGATGCAGAGATTCACAGCTAAGCACTGATCCAAACTCCTGGAATCCAATTGTAGAGAAGGAGGAGGGATGAGCAAAGGGGTCAAGACCTTGTTAGGGAAACCCACCGAAACAGCTGACCTAAGCAAGTGGGAGCTCATGGACTCCAGGCGCCAGCTGGGGAACCTGCATAAGACCAAACGAGGTCCCCCTGAATGTGGGTGTCAGTTGTGGGGCTTGGACAGTCTATGAGGTTAC